GAGGCGCCGACTCAAAAGGAAAAACGGGCAAAATGGAAGGCTCCCCCTGCCTATTTAAGACTCATTCTGAAGCTACTGTAGCTGTCACGTGGGCACTGTGCTACTGGCCAGAGGATAAGCCTAGATCAGCGGACGAGAATGGAATACAAATGGATCCAACATGTGATTTTCATCAAAGGTGCAAGAGTATTTCAATGGAGAAGGGATGGTGTTTTTCAACAAATGGTGCTGGAACAAATGGACGTCCGTGTACAAAAACTGAACCTCAACTTACACCTCTCAATTTATTAAAAAACAAAAAAAGATGGACCATTAACCTAAATAGAAAACCTAGAACCCTCAAAAATGTCTAGAAGAACATCTTTGTGATTTGGGAGTTAGATGAAGACTTCTTGAGAATATCAAGCAAAACAAGACAACCCCAGGGCAACATTTAAGAAATTCAAGGTAAGCCAGTTTGGTGGCTCAGCCTGTCATCCTGTGCCTTTGGGAGGCTGAGGTGAGTGGATTGCCTGACCTTGCAGATTCGAGACCCGTCTGGGCAGCGAGACCTTATCTCTACAATAAATAAAAAAATTAGCTGGGCGTGGTAGCTCACACCTGTAGTTCCAGCTGCTTGGAAGGCTGAGGCAGAAGGATCGCCGGAGCCCAGCAGGTCGAGGCTGCGGTGGCCGGGAGCGGCCACTGCACTCCAGTCTGGGCGACAGAGTGAGACTCCAACTCAAAAAAAAAAAAAAAAAAAAGGTAAGCAAGTATTAGGGCTGGGTGCAGCGGCTCGTGCCTGAATCTCAGCACTTTGGGAGGCAGAAGCAAGAGGACTGTATGAGTCCAGGGGTTCGAGACCAGCCCAGGCAACTTGGCGAGACCTTGTCTACAATAAATCAAAAAATTTGCCAGGCGTGGTGATGCGTGCCTGTGGTTCCAGCTACTTGGAAGGCTGAGGCGGAAAGATCCCCTGAGCCCAGCAGGTCGAGGCTGCGGTGGCCGTGAGCGTGCCACTACACTCCAGCCTGGGCAACAGAGTGAGACCCACTCAAAAATAAAAGGAAACAGGATGAACAAAGCAGACACTGGGGTCAGAACAAAGGTCATAATCCAACACTCCTGGAAGCTGGGTGGTCGGATGGGAGCCTCAGCTCGTCATCTAATATCGAAGGACCCCAGACGAGTCTCCTTCATTCACCCAAGTTTAAAGGAATTTTCTTTTTCTTTTCTTTTTTTTTGAGTTGGAGTCTCGCTCTGTCGCCCAGACTGGAGTGCCGTGGCCGCTCCCG